TCCATGCCATCCAGCCACGATCCAGTGATCTGCCTTTTCATTGTTTTGAATATCCCACTGTCCTCCATGCCATCCAGCCACGATCCAGTGATCTGCCTTTTCATTGTTTTGAAAATCCTACTGTTCTCCATGCCATCCATTCGTGATCCAATGATCGCAATGTTCCATTGTCTTTTCATTGTTTTGAAAATCCCACTGTCTTCCATGCCATCCAGCCACGATCCAGTGATCTGCCTTTTCATTGTTTTGAATATCCCACTGTCCTCCATGCCATCCAGCCACGATCCAGTGATCTGCCTTTTCATTGTTTTGAAAATCCTACTGTTCTCCATGCCATCCATTCGTGATCCAATGATCGCAATGTTCCATTGTCTTTTCATTGTTTTGAAAATCCCACTGTCTTCCATGCCATCCAGCCACGATCCAGTGATCTGCCTTTTCATTGTTTTGAATATCCCACTGTCCTCCATGCCATCCAGCCACGATCCAGTGATCTGCCTTTTCATTGTTTTGAAAATCCTACTGTTCTCCATGCCATCCATTCGTGATCCAATGATCGCAATGTTCCATTGTCTTTTCATTGTTTTGAAAATCCCACTGTCTTCCATGCCATCCAGCCACGATCCAGTGATCTGCCTTTTCATTGTTTTGAAAATCCTACTGTTCTCCATGCCATCCACTTTTCATTGTTTTGAAAATCCCAATGTCCTCCATACCATCCTGTCGTGATCCAGTCATCAGAATTGTTCCATTGTCTTTTCATTGTTTTGAAAATCCCAATGTCCTCCATACCATCCTGTCGTGATCCAGTCATCAGAATTCGAATGTTCCATTGTCTTTTCATTGTTTTGAAAATCCCACTGTTCTGACTTCTTCATGTCATCCAATCACTAATTTAGACTTTCTCTTTTCTAGTTACGGCGATCTTGTGCCACAGAGTGTCCAAGGAAAGATTGTGGGTGCTCTATGCTCTTTCAGCGGCATATTTCTTATTGCTTTGATGGCGCCTTTGTTGCAGAAAGGATAACATTTTATACTCATGTTTAGCTTTTGAGAATATACCTACCAATAAAAGTTAACAAACTTTTATCTGAGTGGAAACGTTCGTATAATTACCATAAAACCCCTATAAGTAATTTTTTATCTCGTTTTTATCAGTGCTACAAAGGTTCTCTAAAGGCCTTTTTTATTGGTCCAGTGTTACGTAATATTTAGAGTGAGGTGTATTAATTTAATTTGATCACTAATCCAAGGACTGAATTAATCAATATACTTCACCAGGTACTGTATCCAGTATTATCATGTGAGCAAAATAAAGCAATACGGTTGGCTAATTTACTCATCAATTATTAAACGGGGGAGAGGGATATGTCTTGCCCCCCCCCCCCCCTTATTTAGATCTCGACCTATTCGCAGGCAATTGTGGCATAAATTATCCACACGGTACTGTAACTAAGCACGTTCCATTCCATCGTCTTGGAATTTTTGTCTTCTGTTCGCAATATAAAAATTTTGCTGGTATAACATCCTTATTTCTTGGAAAATTTGAAATGGCACCAATCCTTGGTTACTGGAATATAAGAGGGGTAAGCTGATTGCTTATATTCTTGATAATGATAATGATATTGTTACATTTATATACTGAGCACTTTTGTATTAAAATCATATCAAAAGGCATATCAATATATGAAATCTTGCTTGTTTTAACAATAAGAATACGTACTTCAAACACAGTATAAGCACGATAATTGGTGCGGCGATCCGCATTAAAATGTTTTATCAAACGACAAATGATGAGACGAAGATATACCAGTAATACAGCACCAATGCATTGCGCAATTTATTATATAAATTTATATTCATAAATTAAAACAACATTGAATCACTATTGAATACAGTAATTATAAATTAATTATACTTTGGCAAGTACAATTGTTGGTTTTGTGTATCCAAAATTTTTACGATTTATTCAAATTTTTACGATTTATTCAAATTTTTATAGCCCCTCCCATTTCCCCACCCTTAGCAGTAGAGTCGGAATTTGTTTTGGTTGGGCATTTAGCGCAAACGTTGGGCAAATTTTCGGCCGCCCCCTAATTTTTTCTCTCCCATAGACTGATGGATGGTACACATGTTTGGCAACATTATTGTTTATATAAATTTGGACAAATGATATATAGAACATTTTTGTTGTATAGCTTGCCCAACCAATCAGATTATTACTGGAGTATACAGAAACAGAGTATGAAGATAAACGCTACACTTGCGGTCCTCCTCCAGGTAATGTTACAAAACCCAATTTTATAAAGTATACATGATTTATTGAAAATTCTCTACACTGATTGGTTGCCACCATAATGGGTCATTCCAGAAAACATCCATACCACCCCCACGGAGGAAATAGGAAGTTAACCCCCCTACCCCCTTTGGATGTCCTAATACATTTACTATTATCCGAAACAATTTTATCTCCCCTCCCCCTTCGGACGGCAGAAATTTCCTCTGTGGGGGGAGTATGGATCTTTTCGGGAACGACCCAATCACATTTTTCGCCATTTTTGGGTGGCATTTCAGCCGAAGTCTGCGAGATAAGTCCACATAACAGTGATTTTTTATAATTTTTTTGGACAAATGATGGTAAATTTGATTTGTAAATGGTTAGTATATTTTGAAAAATTGCTTTTCACATTGTTTTAATTGTCTGCATTGGTTAACGAGAATTGGATGTCACCCAAAAATGGCGGATATTCGTCATCGTGAGAAAGGTTAATTAGTTTCAAATTGTCTTTAGATTATTCAAGAGAGTGCTGGTATAAGGAAAAATTCAATTTAGGATTGGATTTCCCAAACGTAAGTCCCAAAACCTAAACACAGTGGAACCCCACCTTACGTACCACCCTGTTAATACTGTCTTTGTTATGGCAACCTCTTATTTTTGTCCCTGAAAAATGCCAAGATAATACATTTTTTTATAAAGATACAAAATTAATACAGCTATATCCTGTTTAATACAGCCATCCTCTTAATTAACCCAAATTTTTTCGTCCCATCCTTGACCATATTAATGCGGTTCCACTGTACTGGTACTTGATTGTGTTTTATCTTAATGGTAACTTGTGCTAATTACTGTTTTTTAGCTTCCATATTATATTGATGGTGATATAAAAATTACCCAGAGTTGTGCTGTAAGTACATGGTTATTTTTTATGAAAGTTTACCCATTATTGAGCTGGAATTAATGCCCAAATGCTCCCTACTGTACTTTAATTGTTATTTTACTTTGTTTAATTTAACACCAGATGATTTAATTTACTCATCAATGGTCTTAAGAGTCTTAGGCTATACATTAGTCTTAACTATATGCCAATCTGTCTTGTTAACCCATCAAGCTCATCCAAATGCATCCTACTTTATTATTTTACTTTGTCTAACACCAGATGATTTTATTCTGTCTAATGCCAGACAATTTTACTTGTCAAGAGTCTGAGAGTCTTGCACCTTAATTAATGAGTTCAGCCAGTTTCAGTTATTAGTTATATATGGTTATTATGCAAAAATGAATTAAATTAACTTATATATCTTGTAGATTTTGAGACATATTGCTCGAAAACACAACTTGTGTAAGTCAATGCCTCCTTTTATAAACTCTGTTATTAATTTATTGCTATTGGTGATTTTCTGGTAGTATTAGTTTGATTTATTATTGATGACTGATCCTTGCCAATATTTTGTATTCATTAATTAAAAGGTGGTACAACGGATGAGGAGAAAACGGTGGTTGATATTATGGAAAATTGTGTGAGTATGAAGTTATATGATTGTGTGAAGTATTGTTATAGGATTGTACATCATAATCTATTCACCCCAATGTGTTTTTCCTTACAGATTGTTGACTTTCGCCAGGGATTTACATCAGTCTGCTATAGTTCTGAATTTGTAAGTCTTTATACTAAGTACTGTATATGTGCATATTAGGCCGAAATTTGGTACTTTAGGAGAGCCCAAATAATATACTCCAGTTTTCACATTGGAAACAAGAGTTTGGGGCCACAGCTTGGTTCTCATGTAAATTGTAATGTACTGAGAAAACTAAACAATCTTTGTTATGTTTTCAAAGGATAAACGTGTGGATGGCTACAAAAAGAGTGTTGGAGATAAATTGGAACGTTTTGAAAAATTCCTTGGTGACAAACCATACCTTGCTGGTGACAAGGTGAGACTACTCGAGGACAAAATGATGATAATGGTCTCGATTGTAATGTGACAATCTAATTTATGTTTTTTTTTAAAAAAATTTTCAGTTGACCTATCCTGATTTCATGCTGTATGAAATGATCGATCAACATAAAATCTTTGACAAAACTTTGATGGAACCTTTCAAGAAATTATTGGTATGTACTTTGCATCAATAGCCTTTACTGTTCATTGCATTTTTTTGCACCATTTCGATATGAGATGAATGCTTCCAGCTTGACTGTATGAAATTGCAAATTTTTCCAGGCACTCTGAACTAATAATCTATTTAATCTGTAGTAATACTGGACCATGTGCATTGCATATGAAGATCATTTTTCAAATATTATAGTCTTTCCTATTCATTTTCTAGGCTTTTGCTGATAGAATTGAGGTATTTGAACATAACACTTATGTTTTTCTCTTTTACAAATATAGCAGTAGAGTTTGATAGCTATTTTTTTTTTCCAGGCTATTCCCCAAATTGCAACGTACAAGAAATCAGACAAGTTTACAGAGCGTCCACTAAACAACCCAATTGCATCATTTAAATAAATACTTGTTCTTAGTGCATCATGACATCATTTTTCAACATTATTCAGTGGTGATAGCACCGGTAACTTAAATTTGTATTTGTAATGTCAAAAATCAAAATTGGGAGCATAAAATAAAGTGCAATTAAAAACATTACAATGTGGATTTTACTGCCACTATAGATATTATTTCTCAAATGTAGACTTGTCTGCATTTAACCCATTGTACACCAGGCCAGCACTCTCCCCTTGACAAGTCTAGCTTTAGACATAGTAAAATAATAAAGTACTGTAGGGCGCAATGCAAGTAGTCAATAGTTTAATATATATGACACATATGTACATACATAATATGCTCATATGCTGTACAACTTACACGTCATTGATTTTAGTTTTGATGATCTACACACAAGACGAACAATTTTTATTTTAACATTTTTCACAGTACTACAACTGCAACACAATCTAAACTAAAAACACATAGTTCTATAATATGACTGTTCAGCTTTTTATGTAAAAGCAAAGAGTACAGTAACCCACAAATGTTTTGCAGAATCAATTTCTCTTGAGTGCATCAAGTATTTTCAAAATCTCCAAGAAAAGATTTAGAACGTCAAGGTACAGGTTGATCGATGCCAGGATGTATTCCTCAGGTGATAATTTATGCATGAGCATATGGGTGTCGTAGACGATGAACAATGAAAATAATACCGCACCACCAATTGCAATTGCCAGCTCCACAATTTCACTTTGAATGAATAACTGCAAGAAAATAGGATATTCAATGTAATTTAATTGAAAGCTCTGGTCTAGGGTCTTGCAGAAGAATATTTTTTTTGTTTCCTAACCATATTTCTCAAAAATTCATAATTTATTTCAATACTGGCAATATGTCCTGATGCACCCTACTTTATGATTTCACTCTGTCTAACACCAGGTGATTTTACTCGTCAAGGGGAGAGCTCTGGTACTCCATGGGTTAATCTTGCAAGCCAGGCTGCAACATGTTATCTGTTTTTCTTCATAATATATTTAAGGTTATGATCTTACATTTAGATTTCCCATTTCAAGATGGTAACATTGTTATCATGCAAACCAAAATTAAACTTAGGAAACAAACTACCCAGTACATTATGTTTCCGAATTTCTTAGGAAACATTTTGAAGATGTTTCTGAAGGCAGGTAACAAAATGTCTGAAATTTCCAATTGATAAATGAAATATAAAAATACATTTACCTGCAAAATTCCAGCTAGAATCAGGATCCATAATGTGGAAAACAATCTAGAGTATCAAAGTAAATTATTTTTATCCATGAGCAGAAAGTTGCCCAATAATTGTTGGGTTGGGGTTTGAGATGCAGGAGGCAAAATGTTATGCCTTGCATTGTAACAGCACACTGGATGACATTTTCAGGAACATATTACTTGGTTCTTTTCCACTCATCGATGGCAAGAGTGAACTTGCAAGGTCGCTGCAAAGTACTGTACTTCACCCAATCACAATACTTGACAGTTTATTTTAATTAGATGTATCATGTGCACACAGCAAACTTGCTAGTTGTTTTTTGCAATGAATGGAAAAGGGCCTTTTGCTTGTTGAAGGTAGAACAGAACTTACGCAGCTCCCCAGCTACTGAAATCTCTCTTGCTCTGGAAAGTGTAGAGTGTGAGAGCGACTGTTGTCGTAATGGTGAGAACAAAAGCCTCAATCACAATCTGCACATCGTACAAAGTCACTGAAAAAGAAAACACAAAATGGTTTAACCCACTGAGTTGCACTGCGCCCCAATGCACCCTATATTATTATGACATTTACTCAAATTACAGTATCTCATTTTATTTCTATTATTTTTTTGCTTTATCATGAAAAATAGCAGGGCTAGGGGGGTGTGCACCCACAGTATGGATTATTTTACTTTGTCTAATGCCACATAATTTTACTTTTCAAGAGGAGAGTGCTGGTGCTGAATGGGTTCTATCTGCATGTTGATGTGTTCAATATATATTGCATTGCACTGTGTCCTGACACACCCTACTTTATTTTACTCTGTTTACCACCTAAGGTTATTTTATTCTGTCTCATGCCAGACTATTTTACTGTGTCTAATAATATTCACTCATTAAGGGGAGAGTACTGGCGAATGTTTTGGTGTTAAGAATAAGAAGTTATGAGTTGACAAGATCACATCTTACCGACTGTCCCGATAGTATAGGATTCTGCCAATGTCTAAATAGAAAACAGGTACTGTTAAATTATACTAAAATGTCTCCTGGCAACAGCCCCTGACAATACTTTTATTTTTACATATATCAATGAAGTGCGGTCAGATTATAATAAAAGGAGACGTTCATGATTTTGGTCAGTGAACGGGTTGATTAATAAAATGATTCAGTTGTTGAACTTACAAAAGCTAGAAGGAGATACATGTTGACAGGACTGTCTCGTCTTTTTATTGCCAATGCAATGAGAAGACCAATGGATAGAAACATAGAGACAATGAGAAGCGATGGACTAGAAAATTAAATGTGGTATATTGATTTATTATGGTATATTCTGTCTGTGCCAAATGGTAATTGCTATGGTAGTGGAGATTATAGTGTTGATGCTGAAAGTGATGATGATGTTGGTGATGATGGTAGCAGTGATGATGAGTGGGATGATACTAATTATGGTAGAATTGGTGATGCATTGGTAGTGATACTTGTCATGGTTTTCAAGAGGGGGCGGTGATGGTACTGAATGGCTATGATAACGATCCGGACCTTACCTGCCTTGAACAAAGGTTTTTACTGGTTCAATAAACATAAACAAAGCCGAAACAATGATTGTGAGTCCCAACTGCATAGAAAGGATGCCATAGACCTTTCGTAGGAATCCTATGATAAAAATTAATTATTTACAGTAAGAGGAAGGAACCAGCCTGGCAGTCGGCTATTTATAAACCTGCACTCGTATCACAGATATAATAAAACTTTTTTTGCAGATGCAATCAACAAGCTTTGCATTAATTGCTCAGCGGTTATGGCATGCAGCTGTATCATGATAGAAGATCCCCACAGATCCTGTGGGTTCGAGTCCTGCCAAGGCAGTTTGTCTTTTAGGAAATTTTACAATATGTAATGTTTATTTTTTCCCTTCTCAGTTATAATTCTCTAGATTTATGGTTGGGGTTCATGATTTCAGGTTGAACTGGATTCTATCTGCAAGCCCCTATTTTTTAATGTATTTTTTTGTAATTGCCATGTTATCCCCCAATATCTTAGTGTAAATATGTGACTTGTGCCGCACAAAGACATTCTTAGTATTTTAATTCAGGGACTTTAGATTGACTTTCGTTTTCCACCGTTAAAAAATACCAAAAATATTTTTGTTACAGTAGTAGAAGAAACACATGTATCTTTAAACAGATAAACACTATATTTATCGTTCAGAAGCAAAAAATACGACAACATCTGCAATAGAGAAACGTTACTTTCATCCCATTATAAACAACGCAATTATTAATATCAAGTACCAAACATGTAAAATATATTTATCTTGTAGAAACTCGCTTTTTCCGCTTACCCAAACGATAATCGATGCTCGACTGAGCGACTGTGACTCCATAAAGAAAATCGTCCTCAAAAACACCGTGTTTTGACGAATTTTGACGGTAAACCGAAGGATTTTCGTTACTTTTTGTTGCAGCCATATTTTGTTATTGTGCTTCGTAGCAAGAAATTATTGATATAAATGACGTAACTTTTTTAGCCTGCTCGCAGGCTATTTTTATTATTTATGTTAATTTATTCAAAATTCTTTGCACCTGCGAATTAAAAGTTTTGAATTGGAAATTACTGTATATAAGTTTTCGTCTGTTCAGATGTTAATAAACGCCTGTCTTTTTACTTAAAAAGAACTAGTTTATCAGTCACCACTTTTATTTTCATAAACTACACGGTGTACACAACAATAACAACTATATATAGTTTTAATATGTCAGACGCTCTTCCTGTCACTTTTGGAGTACCCCAGGGAAGCATTTTGGGCCCACTTCTCTTTCTCGTGTACATAAATGATCTGCCCAGTATTACCAATAAATGCAATGTTTCCTTGTATGCCGACGACACAGTCTTGTATTGCTACGCCTCAGATGTCAATGATCTTAAAAAAAATCTTAATGAAGATTTACTCAAGTTAGGGACCGGTCATTATTTATGGTGGGGGGTGGCACAGAAGAGAAATGTTTTTCGTGTCGAAAATTTTGCTGACCCAACCATTAGAAAGTCAAAAATTTGATTACCCAACCTCAAATATCAATTAGAAAATAAATACCCACCCCTGGCCAAAACCTTTAGAAAAGGATACCATTCAGTTCTGTGCACATGTCCTGTACCACTTCTGTGACACGAGTTTGATAACGGCTTGTGCAATTTTCTGCAGTCTAAAGTTTCATGTTATCTGCACATGTACTTTCTTTGGAGACACCATTTGTCTCCCAACAAATCGGAAAATGATCAAGATATACAAGCTAGAGAGTGACTCTGATTGATTCACATATTGTATTTACATATGACTGTTGACATTGCTTTTCAGTCTCCAATATTTAAGTGAGTCATACTTTGGAAATGACAATAATTTTTTATTACCCAACCTTTGAGTTGTTTTGTTTTTCATTTACCCAACCTTTTACTTACTCAAAAGTTTGTTTACCCAACCCTTTTCTCTTCGGTGCCACCCCCCGCCTTAAATAATGACCGGTCCCTTAGCGATTTGGTTAAATGAGAATAAGCTGACACTGAATTTAAATAAAACTCGATCAATGATTATAGGCAGTGATAGGAAGTTATGTAATATATCTTCGATATCTGTCTCTGTCAACAATACTGAAGTCTCCAACGCCAGCAATTTCAAGTATTTAGGAGTCACCATCACAGCCAACTAGTGGTCAGAACATATAGATCGCATTTCCGCTAAAGTCAATCAACGCCTAGGTGTACTTCGTAGGATTAAACACCTGCTACCATTTAATGCACGAATCCTTTTTTATAACAGTCTCGTACTCCCAATCTTTGACTATGCGGATGTTATATGGGGAGACAAAAATAATACAGTGTTACTGTAATGAACAATCTTCAGATACTCCAGAACAAAGCCGCCAAGATTGTTTTAGATACACCATATTTTTCATCGGCAACAGACGCGTTAAACACTTTAGGCTGGACCACTCTTGAACAACGCAGATTGTATCATAGATGTTTATTTGTTTTTAAGTGTCTAAATAATCATACTTCACATGGATTTGAACTTCTAGCGAACAGAGAAATACACAACTACAATACGCGATATAAGGACAATTTAAGGCCACCTAAAGTGTCAAGGAATTGGGGAAAGCAAAGACTCGCTTATCAGGCCATAACAGACTGGAACAACTTGGACAGAAAGATAAAACTATCTACTAGTATTTCTACATTTAAGAGAAACTTTTTAGCAATCTTTGAACTTTCCCTCGTATAATTTTTTAATATTTTTCATAGTTAGGGACCGGTCATTATTTATGGTGGGGGGTGGCACCGAAGAGAAAAAGGTTGGGTAAACAAAATTTTGAGTGAGTAAAAGGTTGGGTAAATGAAAAACAAAACAACTCAAGGGTTGGGTGATAAAAAATTATTGTTATTTCAAAAACATGACTCACTGTCAAAATATTGTTGACTGAAAAGCAATGTCAACATTCATTTGTCAATACAATATATGAATCAATCAGAGTCACTATCTTGATCATTTTGACAAAACAAATGGTGTCTCCAAAGAAAGTACATGTGCAGACAACATGAAACTTTAGACTGCAGAAAATTGCACAAGCAGTTATCAAACTCATGTCACAGAAGTGGTAAAGGACATGTGTGACAACTGAATGGTATCCTTTTGTAACGTTTTTGCCAGGGTGGGTAATTATTTTTTAATTGATATTTGAGGTTGGGTAATCAAATTTTTGTCTTTTTAATGGTTGGGTCAGCAAAATTTTTGCCACGAAAAACATTTCTCTTCGGTGCCACCCCCCACCATAAATAATGACCGGTCCCTTATGTAGTATATGCATGTCTTTCTTGTATAATAGTTTATTTAGTTCAGAACCTTTCTGAAAATCACTTTGTGAGAAAGCTTCCTGAAATTAAATATTAATTAAAAAAAAAAATATATCCCGGGGTGAGGGTACTAAATACTAATTCCGCTCGGCTATTTATACCCAATAGAAATTCCCGCCAAAAGGATATAGCTCAGTGCGCAGGCGCAATCCTGACGTCATGGGTGATGGTGCAATCTCCTGCCCGTTCGCAGGTTAGGCGTGGAACATGACAATATGTCTCCCGTGGTGCGAAGGTTGTATTTTATAATGAACACTTTGAGATGAAAATTTTCTTTATTTTCGACGAAATCACGCTGGATTTCTCTACTACACGAAAGAATGGATAACCCAGAAACGATTTTACAATGTTTGAACGGTATGTCCAACAGTTAAAAGTGTTTATTTGGCTGCCAAAATTTTCTTAGTGTGTGTAAGATTTGTCACTGTCATATACGATGTGTTCTTGTACAAATTATTTTTATATTTTTCTAACTGTAAGATGTTTGGGTTCTATCCTAGATTTCGAGACAGCCAAGGACAAAAAGGTCGGGCCAGTACTGGATGAATTGCTTTCACATATAGCGAAAACCGGCAGAACAGAGTATGATATATTTTTACAAATTTTTGTTGATATTTTTAAAAGTCTGATTTCCGTGTGTATTCCTAACTATATTTCACAAAAAATACTGAACCTAGGACATCGTAGATAGCTATAAAGCTACAATTTATCTTTTATAATAATCTAGGCTATATGTTTTGTATATATTTTAAAGATTTAACATTATTTTTCACACTATCAAATCACACGTGTTTCACGTTGTACTGTAAATATATTAGTGATGCTAATCTCTATTTATCAAAAAGGCATCAATTTTAAACTTGTTTCTCTTTATATTGTAGATTTCCTTGGCATCTTTTAAAGCCGCTTGTAGCCTACAAATTAGAAAGGGTAAGTTTTTAAAGCTTTAAAAATGATTTTCGCCATATATAATAATTATAAACATCTGTATCAGTCGTTGTTTACTTCAGTGAAAGCTTGTTTATGGTATTAAATCATACTTGTTTATGGTGGGAATATTTATCACTTATTTACTGAGACCGAGGGAAACAGTGTGATCGACGGTCGAGGGTCCACAAAACACACTGCTTTCCCAAGGTCTCGGTAAATAAGTGTTTTATTATATATCAATAGTCAAAGAAACAACAAATTAAAGAACAAATGAATGTAAATACATGAAATATTTTATTGTTAAAACGTTATATTAAACACTGGCTACACTGCAGTTACTTAAAGCGAAAGTTATAATTACGAACCATGCATGTCCAAAGGTTGCATCTTCATGTGATGGTGCACATGATTTTTTTTGTTATTTGCCGGTCGATAACGTATTATCTCCCTCTTGCGCTGTTGCGAGGGAGACAGCCTAATTTCGTCATTCTCATATGATAAGCTCTCAACCAATAAAACACTAGAAAAATGCGACTTTGACTATTGATATATAATAATTATCACTTATTTACTGAGACCGAGGGAAACAGTGTGTTTTGTGGACCCGATAAATTCCTTTATCACATACTTGTACCTTTATCAGCTAGGAAGCAGCGGGACATAAAAACGATATCGTCCCGGATATCGTTTTTTGTCCCGGATATCGTTTTTTGTCCCGCTAAATTTCGCGCCTTGTCAAAACAAAGATGGCCGATTCGAGGTTCGTGTTGGTTGATGTCGAGAGTTTATCGAAGAAAACAAGAACGATAATACAAAATGAAAGACTTAAATTGTATATTATTTATATGAATGGTCTATTTATTTTCTAAAATCATATTTGTTCAGTAGATGATGAATTGTTTTGAATTCTAAAATGATACTATTTTTTCAAAAATCAAAACTTTTGGGTGTTTACCCTGATAAAGGTACAAGTATATAATAAATAGGTTATCGTACTCGGGATTCGGTGATATCAGTTTTATCGCTCTCGGGACGATATCACAATTGTCCCTCACTCGCTGCGCTCGCTCATGACAATTGTGATATCATCCCTCGAGCGATAAAACTGATATCACCTCATCCCTTATATGATAACCTATATTTATCACATACTTGTGCCTTTATCAGGGCTATTGACATAAAAACAATTTGTCACTGATATCGCTTGTTGTTACTGATATCGCTTTTTGTTACTGATAATGCTTTTTGTTCTGCTATAAGCAATGATTAATATTCTAATTGATTCTGATAAAGGCACAAGTATATAATAAACAGGGTATCATACTTGGGATGAGGTGATATCAGTTTTATCGCTTTCAGGACAATACCATATGTCCCTCGTTTGCTGTGCTCATTAATTGTGACATTTATGATATTATCCCTCAAGCAATAAAACTGATATCGCCTCACCCCTCGTATGATAACTTAGATATAATGCAGTCTAAACAAATTTAAAAACGATTGCTGCTAGGATGATGTGATTTATTGATTAACCCAGTGTGCCCTTCTTTTTTTTTACTTGTCTAACGCCAGACTATTTTACTTGTCAATGGGGAAGCTCTGCAGCTTAATGGGTTAACCAGAAAATATGACAATGTCTCTAGTTAACCCATTGAGCCGCAATGCACCCCA